GCAGGGTGGCCTTCTACCCCAGTGGTTCTCAGCATGCCTCCTGGGTTGGGGAAAGGCAAGCAGCAGCACCAAGGAACGTGTTAAAAGCCTCACACCTTGCAAGTCAGACACTCTGGGAGAGAAGACCCGCACTATCTATGTTTTAACAAGCCCTCCAGGGAACTCAACTGGGTTTGATGAGCACTACTCTAGTATCTTTGACTCCTTTCTTTCTGTCTCAGTGTCTCAGTGGCTGTTGTGAACTGTTTTGCTAGCTAGTTTAAACACCTTTGACACATTGGACACATTGGCATCCAACATATAGGTACGCCTAAGATAAAGCCCAAATCTCCTGCTAGGTTTACCTCTGCTTATTGGAGCTGAAATGTGTTAACCTTACTTGCTGGATTGGTTGTCAGAAAAGAAGGAAACTCTGTCAGGTTATATCAGGCAGAATAAATTGCCAGCTGACACTCTTTGCATGTGGTAGTCACAAATATTATAAATCACCAATGGAAGTTTGATGACAGCTTTCTTGCCCCACCTCCCTGTACACAACATCTTGTTAGCAAGCCATGGAGATGCTAGGCTAAGGATATATTTACTGCAGCTTCTCAGAAATCTGACGATTCTTTGAGTTATGTTTCTTTTAGTGTGTGAAATACCCTAAAAAAAGACTATCAGTGTTTTTTTTTTCTATTACATTGTCTTACTGTTTTATAATACTCTTTATAAAATATATAGATATAAAATAAAATGAAATTTTGTTTCCCTAATAGACCAGATCACACATTATGTTACACGGCCTCATGGTGTATGTGTTTTCCTACCACACACTTTTTTTTTTTCATGTGGAGAAATAGTCGTTTCTACAATGTCTTCTTTAAAGTGCTGCTTCCAATAATCAGTGTTGTTGGCAAATTGAGGTCTGCTGCCCTGCCTCCCATTGTTGCTTTTCTAATTTGACTCTGGCTCATCCTGATCTAGAAAATGTGGTCAGCTGGCCTATTGATCCCTTGTCCTAAAAACTCATCCTCTTGTGCCTCACATTGAAATTATACCTTCTACTTTAACTTGCTGATCAGAGGACAGATCACACACACACACACACACACAGACACACACACACACTATATATATTTCCCCTTCTCTTCTCCCTCTTGCCCCAGCCCTGCTCTGGACCAAAGGTTTTTGTTTTGTTTTTTGTTGATGGTGGTGGTGGCTTTTTAAAATTATATGTAAGTACACTGTAGCTGCCTTCAGACATCCCATAAGAGGGCATCATATCTCACTCATTACGGATAGTTGTGAGCCACCACCATGTGGTTGCTGGGATTTGAACTCATGACTGCCTGAAGGATGTGGTTCTTTTCTGTCTTTCAAAGTGTCACCACTATCAGAGAATAATATAGGTTAAAGAGGCAGAGGTATGGAGATACTCAGTTTAAATTTGAGACATGTACATTTCCTGATTGTTGTCACCTACCATGGTTTCCATGGACAACATTAGAATGTTGTCCACAGGACAGATGTACCAAAGAGTATGAGCATCATAGCTCAATTTCTCTTATTTTCAGTCTTCTCAGTGAAACAACAAGGAATATGAATGAAATAGCTCCTAAGACTTACTTCTAAACAAAATTAGTATGTATGTGTGTGTATACATTACTGAAGATGGACCTCAGAACCTCATGCAATAGCCAAATAGTCTACCACTGAGCCACATATAGTTTCAAAATAATGCATTATGGAACCTAAACTTATAGTGCTTATATATAGAAATTATTTATGAAAGCATGTTACATGTAACTTATTCCCTATCTAAGCAGAATCAAGAGTAAATGTTTAAATACCTCTTGAATCTCTTAACCGTAAAATGTCTTCTGATATTTAACTTATACATATTTAGGGATAAAATATGCTGCCTACATACATATGAACTGTGAATTGCCTGTTGTGAAGATTTGAAAGAGAACATTCCCCATAATCTCATGGAGTTGAATGCTTAGTCCTAGGTTGGTGGCACTATTTGGGAAGGTTTAGGAGATATGGCCTTGGTGAAAGAATGTTGTCACTGGAGGTGAGAAATCAAGGCATTGGCCTCCTCCTGGTTTCATCTCTCTGATTCTTGCTTGCAGCTCAAGATATGAGGTCATAGACTCCTGCTCTATTTGCCATGCCTACCCGCTGCCTCTGCCCTGACACTAAGGACTCTAACTCATTGGAACCATAAGGCAAAATAAACCTTCTCCCATAAGTTGTGTAAGTCATGGTGTTTTAACGCAGCAACAGAAAAGTAACTAAGATGACTAAAATGTGTGATTGACTGGAAAAATGTTAATCTTTCACTGTGTATGTGTGTGTGTGTGTTTCTCTGTGTGTGTGAGGGGGGGTGAGAGGGAGGGAGGGAGGGAGGGAGGGAGGGAGGGAGGGAGAGAGAGAGAGGGGGGAAATCCGCGCATAGTGAATTGAATAAGGAAGTGTATTAATGTCAGGTAAGATGACACTCAGAATGCTAAGGCTAGAGCAGTACCAGATTGAGGCTGGCCAGAGCAATGTGATGTGTTCAGGGCCAGCCTGAGTTACAAAGTAAGATCCTACTCACAAAAAAAGAGAAGAAAACAGGCAACTCCTCCCCTGATAAATGTATATTGGAAAAATAACTAATTTTCAGGCTCACAGTAAAGCGATATAAGCCATTTGTGGTAACTAATTGAAAATAGTTTGTTTGATGACAAGTGTAATGGCGGTTTCTTTTGTAATGGCAGGTTCTGTTACTTTGTAACGGCCCGTTCTGCTGCTCTGGTCTGCAGGTCAGGATCTAGCAAGAGAGAGAGTGGAGACGGAGGAAGGGCGAAAGAGGGGCAAGAGATGCAAAAGATGGTTACAGGACAGAGTCTGGTCGAGTCTCTTCAAGTCTCTTCTTTCTTCTTCTTTAGTCTCCCTTAGTCTCCTCTATCCTCCTATATTCTCTCCTATCTTCTCCTATATTCTCTCATATTCTCCTATATTCTCCTCTAGTCTCTTCTATCCTCCTATATTCTCTCTTATCTAAAGGAAATCCTGGGTAGTTATACTCTTTACCACGTGACTTACCCTCGTGGACAAGCACAACTGAAGGCACTATGTCACGTGCCTTGTAGCCATGTATACCAGGAGCACCTTGCAGCTGGGGCACTAAACTGTGTAACAAGATGTTTATCAGAGTGTGCTCAGCTATTGCAGGCTGTTGAAAACAAGTCTCTTGTCAGGGTATATGGCTCTATATGGCTGTAAAGATGATAGCCACTTTCGGCTAAGAGTCGGCTCCCAACAGACAAGAACTCAAAATTTGGTTGATTTTTGTTTTTTTGGTTTAGTTTTTGTAGAAGCACTTTGATTAAGTCAAAAGTTAACAAGTGCTAAGAGCTATGAGTTATTTTATTTTATTTTATTTTATTTTATTTTATTTTATTTTATTTT